AGAAACAGGTCTTTCTGCAGATTGGAAAGTCCTGGAATGTGTGGACCATGCCTCCTTTCTTCTATCTTTCTTTGACTCCTATGCAGATCTCTTGCCCACTTGTAGGATTGGATTTTTCCCATTTTCCCACTGAATGGAAACTTCTCACAGACAGAAACTACATTTCCTTTTCCCAACCCTCTCCCCCAGACTCTTGTGCCCTGCCCCATGGGCTCCGTAAAGCAGCTGATGCCCTTCTCAGTTCCTGCTGGAGTCCTAGGGTCCCACAGGGAAGAAGAAAGAACCCATATTTCCAGGGACCCAATGCTCCACCTCCAGTAAGGCCCGCCCACAGCACAGGGTCTGTGGTCAGTGGTCTGCCCCTGAGGGGACCGAGGGTGGTCGCTTTGTGACCAGTGAGGCATTGCTTTCCCAGCTTTTTGGCTCTCAGGAAGGGAAGACCTTTGTGCCCTGCTTTTGGCATCAACAGAAGTGAAAGGTTCAGGGGAAACTTGCGAACCCTTACACCACCCAGCCAGCTGGTCTACCCAAGGATGCGCTGTCTGCTCCCTCTCTTCATGTGCTACCTGGCTGTTCCCTCCCCTGTAACACAGCAATAACCTTTCATAACCCACTGGGGTACAGCTGATGGCGATAAAAACACAAAGATGACGCTTATGTTTCTAGGGGTGTGCCTGGCACTTGGAATCAGTATGTTTTCCTTCCTTCTTTTCTCCTTGCCTACCTCCCTACCCCCTTCCCTCATTTCTTTCTCTGCTCCTTCCAGGGCTCCTTCTCCCAGATGTGAGCCTGAGCCTAAGACCATCTCTATTCCCTGCTCCACAAATCAAAAAACACCACCAAGAGAGACACAGCCAGCTTTCTGGTGAAGAACCCCTCTCCCCTCTAGCCCCCCACCCGGCCCCCAGACCAGAAGGCCAGCTGGCTTTCCAGGGCCAGGAAACAGGAAAAGAGAATTCATTCAGTGAGTCAGGATGTAAATAAGCCACGAGAGGCCGCGCCATTCTGGGCTGCACCTGTGAGCATCCCTCGGCTGAAGCCCTGTCAGCGTTTCCATGACAAACTCGTATTTCTGGATGCCTCTCTACCAGCTTCAAGAGCATGCCTGTGCTGAGACCTGACCCTGAAAATGCATTCATCGCCTTTTTTTCCCCCTAAAGAAGATGGCACACTCTTAAGAATCCACCTGCTCGTGATACGTGTTTGCTTTTCATTCTGCGGGTTTTGTGGGTATTCTATTTGTATGGCAGACATGCAAGCATACAATAATACACATGGGAGTTCGGGGGCGGAGAGCTACTGGGGCAAATTCACAACCACCATACGCACAGCGAGATGGCCCCTCTCCTTAAAACAGCTCTCATACCCACTTGCCTGTCCCAAAGCCTAAAATTCTACCACCAGAAATGTACTGCTTTTGAACCTAACCATCCCCAACAGTCTGCTCTGACAAAGCATGTTGTCCCTAAAAGGGACAAAGCTGCCGTGTGATGAGGGGTTAGCTAAAGAACCATGAGGCATCGGGGAAAATGACCAAAGGGTAGGAGAGCCCTAAAAAAGTAGATGAGAGCCAGCCAACATATGTTACCTATTTTATAGGTTTGCAAGGCCTGCCTATTAGAGAACATGTGTGCTGTCCACGTGCACACACGCATTCGTGCGCGCACACACACGCGCGCACACACACAGTGCTCTTTATATAAAGCAGTCGTTCCAAAAATCTAAGTGGTATTCAGATTCACCTGGCAATGCTTTCAAAAATACAGGTGCCCAGGCCCTACCCCAGACATACCCAAGCAGCCTTTCTAGGGCTGGAGCAGAGCCCAGGACTCTGCACTACAGGGAATCACCCAGGTGTGCTGCTGATCAGTCAGGTTTAGAAACCACTGCTGTAAAGGATAGAGCACCAGGAGAGAAAACAGAACACCTGAGTTTGGGCAACGGCACCACCATTTACTGAGGGACCCTGGGCCCGGCGCTCTCTGAACCTGGGGGAAACATGTGAGACCCAGCTCCCATGACCCGTATGAGGCAGTGTTCTAGAAATGCCTGCTGAAAACGAGCAGACAATGCAAATGGTCACTGTTATCCCATGCACTCACAGCCTGTGGTATGCACAGATGCATGTTCCTATGAATCCATGTACCTGGGCTCCTACAGAGAAGGCACGTCTGGGCTTCGTCGTTCTCCTTCACCTAAGCTCAGGTCGGCCTTCACTTCCGGATGGACTCACTCACCCCGGGACATCGCCCTGCTCACTTCTCCGAATAGCTTGGCACACTCCCTGATCACTTAAATGTGATTTTTCCATCTAGTAGGTTTAGCCACCATCTACGATATCTTGGATTCTCATTCCCTCTGGGGAGAAAGAAGGAAAAGGAGTAGTCACTCTGTTTCATGACAAGGAGAAAGCTGGGCAAGTGGGTTTAGAAGGCTCTATACCATTTATACCATTTGAACAGAGCAGTGATTCTTTCCTTTTGAAAACTTGGGGAAAATGTGCTCACAAAAATTCCTCATACAGTTTTAGGGTTTCAGGGGCTTCCTGATGTCTTTCCACGGACCCTCTGGGAGTAAAGAACACCTGCCCCATGGGGCTATGGCAGCCCAAACCCTCTAAGCACATGAAGCATCTTTTCAGCTGTGCCTTTGCTGAATGACGGACTTGTCACCCCTCACCACCCAGCTGTGAGATGAACTTAACTGACCTTCCCTCCCTCTCCAAGGAAGAGAGTTAAAACCCAGTGACACGGTGACATATCACCCGTGTTGGACAGAATCTTCTCAGACCCGGACTGTGCCTCCCTGTTCCTGATCCCGCAGCAGAGGATAAGCTGCCATCAGGTATCAGGAGGATGGATGGTCTCTAACTGCAAAAAACGAAAACATGGCTCAGACTGGCTTAAGCAATAAAAGGAATCTATTGGTCCATGACGATGACAAAATTATTCAAGGTAGGTAGACACAAAAGCCTACCCAGGTCTGATCCATTTGCTCCGCGAGTTGTTTTTGTCTGTTTGCTCGTTTTTGGTTTCTCTGTCCTCCCTCATGGAGACAACTTCATCTGGAAAATTTCAGCCTTCAAGGCTGCAACGTGGTCTTGCCAGCAGCAACCAAAGCTGGATGCACCCTCATTCCCACTTTGGAGAGAGAGCAAGCTGCTTTTTTGAAAGCATCCATGAAAGGAAATGGACGCTTCTTTCCAGAACGCCTCAGTCAGTATCTCCCACATCCCATTAGCCCACATTGGGAAACCTCCCATCCTGATTAGAGCCTCTGATGGTGCTGCATGTTTGGGAGATTCAGAACTTGGTAAAGATGGCATGTCTCAGTGTCCAGACCTCAGGTCATAGTTCTCAAACTCAGCCCCCCACCCCTAGGCAGTTTAAACTGCTTTCAAAAAAGAGATTAAGGACACCAAAGAAATGATTTTATAAATGCTGAAGTTCCAGTCTTGTCCCACACAGGTCCTTGGCAAAAGCCTGGGCCTTCTCAGGAAGGTAAGCGGAAATGGATTTTCACTTTCTAGAAAGGGAAGGAAACAGAATCCACGGCCAGTCAGCTGAGCAGAATGCAGGCCACACAGGGATTCAGAGACGTGGGCTGTGCCTCCTTTCTTCTTTAGTCTTTTGGGTGAGCATGAACAACCCATTTATCCTCTCTGGCCTCTGTACAGATAGAGTAAAATGGTCATCCCTTCCGTTTACAGGGGTCCTGTATAAGGAGCAACAGCTTGGAAGGAAGCTGGGTCCTCAGAACATTCCAGGCTTGTGTGCTATGGCTCAGAGCATAGAGACTGTGGTATGGAGTGGTTTCTGACCAGTCCTCCCTTGCCAAAACCAGCCAGAAGGTTTTTCAGTGTAACTCCAATAAAATTACAGGTCCTCTGAGGGCCCTAGCTCTGCTTGGGCAGTCATATAAAGAAATATGGTTCAGCAACTGAAAGTCATTTAAAAAGAAATTCCAATTATTTATTAGTATCTTTTGAAAAGATAGAAACTCTTGGCAAATTTTTTCTGTAGCCCCGTTTTCTCCTCCCTAATTCCGTCACATCCATAGCTACTCAAGCTTTTATGTGTTATAAGGTCCTATCCTCTCTCCAGCACCCAAATGTCGCCCCTTTTCCTGAGCTCTTTATTACGAAGGGTGATTTAGGCTCTTAGGTCAGCTCCTTCCCCTTTTCCTCCAGTCTCTCTCCATACCCATTCTCCCAATTCTCTATCCAAGAAGATCTGGATATCAAAGTTATTAAGCCAAAACTCTCTGTAGAATATTTATACTTCAATAAATCTTGTCCCTGAGATATAAGCATCATTTGGGGAACAGACTTGCAGTCCCATACACACATAGATTATCCTAATACTCTGTATTAGGGTTCTCCAGAGAAACAGAACCAATAGGATATAGAGATATATACAGACAGATTTATTAAAGGAATTGCTCACATGGTTACAGAGGCCAGGAAGTCCCATGATCTGCCAGCTGCAAGCCGGAGAACCAGGAGAGCTGGCGGTATAATTCAGTTCAAGCCTGAAGGCCTGAGAACCAAGAGCTCTGATGTCCAAGGGCAGGAAAAGATAGACATTCTAGGTTAAAAACAGAAAGAGAAGAGATGCCTGACTGTCTGGCTCAGTTGGTAGAACATGTGACTCTTGATCTTGGGGTTGTGAGTTTGAGCCCCACGTTGGGTGTAAAAATTAAAAAAAAAAAAAAAGGAGAGAGGGAGAATTTGCCCTTCCTCCACCATTTTGTTGTAGTTGGGCCCTCAATGGATTTGATAATTACCCGCATTGATGTGGGTGGACCTTCTTTGCTCGGTCTACTGATTCTCTTCCAGAGACAACCTCACAGACACACCCAGAAATAATGTCTTACTAGCTATCTGGTCATCCCTTAGCCCAATCAAGTAGACACATAAAACTAACTATCACATACCCCACCTTGAAGTAGACCATCAGCTTTAGTTGTATTTGTCAGTAGAGACAGGGGGTCATAAACCATCCATCTTGAAAACCTTACCTTCTAATAGCTTTAACCCTGGGAGTTATTTTTCAGAACAAGTCTGCAGAATATTCTCCGCTGGCCTCTCCAGCTGCACTCTCCAGCCGTCTCCGCTTTGCTCTGAGATCCAGGAGGCTGAGCTCAGTGGTCTATACCAAGAGGTTTTCTTGCCCTCTGGTTTCTGGCTGCCTTTGACCTCTGGGGGGCCGAGTCTCCTGTCCCAGGCTCTCTCCTAGCTGCAGCTGTCCCTGGGATCTGGTCACTACACCCCACGGGCTCCTTCAGCCTAGATATGGTAAATAGTTCCTGTTGTTCCTGGTCCCTGTGACTCGTTACCACCTTCCCTTGCTTCCTCACTCTTGCTGCTTCCCTGAACCCTGTAAATAGTCCTTGCACCCAGGTCTCCTCCCTACCTGGAGTGACAGGACCCAGACTGACTCAGTGCCCCTGACGTCCACAGCATGGTGTCCTCTGTGGGTCTCATCAGTCTATAAAGTACAGAGGGGAGGGAGGGAGGATGATACTCTTTTTTTATGGAGGATCTGACATGTGAAATTTTCAAACATGATTCAGTCATGTGTCAAGGTCTAACTTGCCTCTCTGGACGGGAATATCCACCATTGTTGGCCAAGTTAAGGGTTTAGTCGGTGGCTGAAGAACAGTGTCCCTCTGAAAAGCTAAGTGAAGAAAGAATCCACAGCTTGTCAGTGCTGTGATGTAACAAAGGGACTGCCACAGCCAGGCAGGAGCCACGAAAATTTAGGGTGTGGCTTTGCGGCTCTAGTCAGCCAGTTTACCTTATCCTGACCACAAGGAGACCAGAAAAGAGAAACACCAAAGACCTCCTACAGAAAGAATGAGTCAGCGATCAACATGATTTGAGCAATTGTAGAAAAGCCTCTTACCCTCAAAAATATACTCACATCCCCCATTTCCATCCCAGGCCTGATGAGGATGAAACCGTATCTGCCCATATCTGAAATTTCATCAGTAGAGAGGCATAACTTTGCCTTTGGCCAAATGTAAACATTGTTCCCTGAAAGGCGTAAGTTAATTACATTTGATTAATATTCCCATTACGTGCAAGGCACTGTACCAAGTGCCAGTTAACGTTGTAACCCTATCATTTACCCCTGAGTATGAATAAACTGAGTATCAAAAGAGAAACAGCAGAGAGGTGGGGAGAAACATGCCCCAGAGGGAGGAAACTGAAGACACACTCCGCCTTCCATGATCCAGGGCACAGGAGAGGCCCTGGGTTAGAGATGTAACTAGGGGATCTTACAGTGTGTGGATGGTATTGTAAGCTATGGGACTAGATCAGGCCACCCAGAAGGAAGGAAGGGAGGAGAGGGGAAGGGAAGAGAAGAGAGAAAAGGACATCCAAAAGCTAAGCTCTAGGGAATTCCAATCTTAATGCTGGTGAAAGGGGATAAATGCATCCAGAGAAGAAAATGAACAAGGAAGGGGCACCTGGGTGGCTCAATCAGTTAAGTGTCTGCTTTGGGCTCCAGTCGGATCCCGGGTCCTGGGATGGAGTCCAGTGTCAGGCTCCCTGCTCAGCAGGAGTCTGCTTCTCCCTCCACCTCTGCCTCCCCCATGCCCTCTCTTGCTCGCTCGCTCTCAAACAAGTCTTTAACCCCAAAGATACAGATGTAGTGAAAAGAAGGGCCATCTGTACCCCAATTTTATAGCAGCAATGGCCACGGTTGCCAAACTGTGGAAAGAACCAAGATGCCCTTCAACGGACGAATGGATAAGGAAGATGTGGTCCATAAACACTATGGAGTATTCTGCCTCCATCAGAAAGGATGAATACCCAACTTTTGTAGCAACATGGACGGGACTGGAAGAGATTATGCTGAGTGAAATAAGTCAAGCAGAGAGAGTCAATTATCGTATGGTTTCACTTATTTGTGGAGCATAACAAATAGCATGGAGGACAAGGGGAGTTAGAGAGGAGAAGGGAGTTGAGGGAAATTGGAAGGGGAGGTGAAACATGAGAGACTATGGACTCTGAAAAACAATCTGAGGGGTTTGAAGGGGGGGAAGTTGGGGAACCAGGTGGTGGGTATTGGAGAGGGCACGGATTGCATGGAGCACTGGGTGTGTTGCAAAAACAATGAATACTGTTACGCTGAAAATAAATTTTAAAAATTAAAAAAAAAAAGAAAATGAACAAGGGAGAGCTGGTGAAGTAAGAGGAAGATTGGTTGACTGGGGTGTCTGAAAGCAACTGAACAAAGACTTTGAGCAAGGCAGTGATCAAATGACAGAAATTCCTGCTGAGGGGTCAAGTAAGAACAGAGAACTGACCACTGAAACTGTCAGTATGGAAATGTGGTTTCACTGTCACGGGAGGGGGAACAAGCCTGATGGGGGTATGTGTGACAGAATAGGAGGTGAGGAGATAAAAACAGTATAATAAAAAATTTTTTTAAATTTAATTAAAGTAATCTCTACACCCAACATGGGGCTTGAACTCACGACCCTGAGATCAAGAATCACATGTTCCTCCAACTGACCCATCCAGGCGCCCCAAAACAGTAAAAAAAATTTTTTTTAAGTTTTGCTATGAATGGTTAGCAGAAAAATGATGAAGTAGCTGAAGGGAAAGATAGAGTCAGGGATTTCTTTTTTAATTTAATTTTATTTTTTTAGGATTTTATTTATTTATTTGACAGAGAGAGATCACAAGTAGGCAGAGAGGCAGGCAGAGAGAGAGGCGGAAGTAGGCTCCCTGCTGAGCAGAGAGCCCAATGTGGGGCTCAATCCCAGGACCCTGAGATCGTGACCTGAGCTGAAGGCAGAGGCTTACCCCACTGAGCCACCCAGGCGCCCCAAGGATTTCTTTTTTTAAAGATGAGAGTTATATCACATTAGTGTGTTGATGGGAATGGTCCAATAGAGAGAAAATTTGACAATGCAGTTAAGAAAGCAGGTAATTGCTGGAGTGATGCCTTTTAATAAGCAAGAAGGGAAGGGATCCAGTGTGCAGAAAAAGGGCCTGTCCTCAGTCCCATAGATGGTCCATTCATCATAAGAGGAGAGAAAGCAGAGTGAGTATAAAAGCCTAAATCAGGAAGGTTGGTACTTTCGGTGGTGGGAGATAAGAATTTTTTTTTCCTGATTTCTGTTTTCTCAGTGAGCAAAATATAATACCAATGTCTGAAAGTGAGATGCAGGGGGAGTTGTGTGAAGGCCTGAGAAGGGAAGAGGGTAATGCAGTTATCCCAAGGAGTAGGACAGTGACTCGCCGGGGGGATAGATTATAGGATTGCTGGGCAGCATGTGGTCCTCTGAGGTGAAAGGTCATGACTTTATTTATTTATTTATTTATTTATTTATATTTTATTTATTTGATACAGAGAGAGACAGCGAGGGAGGGAACACAAGCAGGGGAAGTGGGAGAGGGAGAAGCAGGCTTCCCGCCGAGCAGGGAACCTGATGTGGGGCTTGATCCCAGGGATCAGGACCTGAGCTGAAGACAGATGCTTGATGACTGAGCCACCCAAGCACCCCAAACTGGTGACTTTAAAGGGAGGCCTTTCACCACATTCCACACCACATGCAGGTGTGGAACAGGTAAAAGATTAGACCCATGTTAGGGTTTTACTAGGCCTCTAGGTTGGGAGGGAAGAAGGTCAAGATGGTTGTATTCTTTATCAGTTGCCATTAAACAAATTATCCCAACACTTAGTGGCTTAAAACAATAGACATTTCTTATCTCATAGTTTCTGTGAGACAGAATGTGGAATTTGGAAGCAGTTTGGCTAAGCAATTCTGGCTTGGCACCTGTCATAAGGCTGCAGTCAAGATATTAGCTGGGCTGTAGTCATCTGAAAGCTCGACTGGGCTGGAGAATCTCCTTCCAAGATGGCGCATCATGTTTGGCAAACCAGAGGTGGCTGTTGCAAACAGACTCAGTTCTTCTCTATATGAGCCTCTCCATGGGCTGCTTGGATATCCTCACAACCTGACAAATGGCTTCTCACACAGGCAGCAATCCAAGAGGAAGAACTAAGCAGAGCTTATCCTTTTATGACCTAGACTTCGGTCACATTGCCTTACTTCTGCCACATTCTATTACTTAAAAGCAAGTCACCCTGAGTCCAGTCCATGTTCGAGGGGAGGGGGGTTAGACTCCACCTTTTGAAGTCAGTACTGTAATGGACTGAATGTTTGTGTCTCCCCAAGACTCATACATTGACTCTAACCACCAGTATGAATGTTTATGTCTCCCCAAGACTCATACATTGACTCTCTAACCACCAGTATGAATGTTTATGTCTCCCCAAGACTCATACATTGACTCTCTAACCACCAGTATAGTTGTATTTGGAAATGAAATCTCTAAGGAAGTCCTTAAAGTTATATGAGGTCATAGAAGTGGGGCCCTGATCTGCTAGGATTAGTGGGGTTTGTATAAGAGGTGACACAGAGAGGTCACTTGCTTGCTCTTTCCCTGTGCACACAAGGAAAGACTTCGTGAGGACATAGCAAGAAGGCCACCATCTGCAAGTCAAGAAGAGAGACTTTACCAGAAACTGAACTGGCCAGAACTTTGACCTTGGACTTTGAGCCTCCAGAATGGCAAGAAAATAAATACCTGTTGTAGAAGCAACCCAGTCTGGAACACCTGGTGGCTCAGTTGGTTGGACAACTGCCTTCAGCTCAGGTCATGATCCCGGAATCCCAGAATCCAGTCCTGCATTGGGATCCCAGCTCCACAGGGAGTCTGCTTCTCTTCTGACCTTCTCCTCGCTCATGCTCTCTCTCACTGTCTCTCTTTCAAATAAATAAATAAAATATTTAAAAAAAAAAAAAAAGAAGAAGAAGAAGCAACTGAGTCTATGATATTTCATTATGGCAGCCCAAGAAGACTGAACAATTATCAAAGAACTTGCAGACATATTTTATTATCATTACAAAGGCAAGGATATATGAAAGTGTGTTTACCGTGATGGGCCAAGGACCCTAAGTTGAGAAGGGAGGGAGGTGATGGTCTGGAGGGATGAATGAAGAGACTGGAGATCACTGAATGGAAGAAGTCCCTGAGTGGGTGGAGGAATGTAGGAGTGGGAAGCAAATTTAACAGATATGTGGCCAGAGAGGACTCGAAGTGGGGATTTGGGGACATGGCACTTTTGATGCTGGTAACAAGATCTAGGATAAGGTACGAGAGGAGGTGACTGAGATGGGAAGGAAGGGAAAGATCATTGGTGGCAAGGAGATTAATTAACAGAGAGGCAGAATATTGGCGAGATCATTTAAGAGACACTGAAGGGACCAGGATGAGGCTGAATGTAGGGATGGAGAGAAAAACAGTGAGCAAGGCATAAGGTCTTCAGTGAATGGGGAGTGATGGGGAAGAGAGTAGTAGCAGGGGCCAGAACTTGACAGCAGGTGGGACTTGAAGGGACATTCCCGGTTCTAGTCTGAGTCTGGGGGAAGGGTAGCAGCGTTAGTTACTGAGGTGGCCATTAAGAAGCCAGGTCCACAGCCAAGTTAGGAGGCAATGAATGTTCTGAGAAAGCTTGATAAAGAGAAGAGGAGGAGAAACAGAGGACCTGAGCACACACAAACACATACAACCAGGTAATAGCACATATCTCGGGGTTGATAAAAGGACTAACTGAACTAACAATTCATGCTTAGACTGTGACTGGCAGTGTTTTGTGACACAAACCATTCTCTGACAGCAACTGGGTGTCCAGAATTCAATTCTCACACTATCTACTCATAGTTAGCATTAGGGCCCAATCCCCCAAGACTCTCTCCACTTCAAATGCCAGCCATGAATGGGGTGCCTAGACTTCCTATTATTGCTGCCCAGATGATTATAAATTAGGGGGTTCCTACAACCCCCACTCAGGTTCAGGAATTTGCTAGAATGACTCACAGAACCCAGGATAACACTTTACTTACATTTGTTAGCTCATTATAAAGAATACAAAGAGTCAGATGAAGAGGTACACAGAGTGGATCCAGAAGGGTCCCAAGGCAGGTGGCTCTGTTCCCATGGAGTTGGGGTGCATCGCCCTTTTTGTACAGGATGTATTTGCCACCCCAGAAGCTCTTCAAATCTTGCTGTTCAAGAGTTTTTATCTTGAACAGGATCCAGCCCTCCTCCCTCTCTGGGGATTGGCTGGGTGGGGCTGAGAGTTCCCCATCCACTAATCATACCTATTAGCCTTTCTGGCGGCCAGCCTCTATCCTGAAGCCATCTAGGGGCCCCACCCTGAGTTATCTCATTAGCATAAACTCAGACAGGGTCAGGAAGGGCTCATTATCAGTAACGTGACCATCCTATCACTCAGGAAATTCCATGGTTTTTAGGAGCTCTGAGCTAGAACCAGGTGATTATTTATTATACCACAGCCTGCCACGTACTAAGTGCTGTATAAGGGATCAATAATCCCTTGTTACAGATGTTGCCTTCCTACTCTGCCCACATTGGTTTACTTCTCGCCACTTCTTAAAGGGTGACCAACTTGTTGGGGTTTTTAAAAGATTTTATTTATTTATTTTTTAGAGAGAGAGTGTGCGTGGGGGGGAGGGGCAGAGGGAGAGGGACAAGCAGAATCCCCGCTGAGGCAGAGCCCTATGTGGAACTTAATCCTATGACAATCCCAAGATAATGACCTGAGCTAAATTCAAGAGTCAGAGGCCTGACTGAGCCACCCAGGTACCCCAAGGTGTTGGGTTTTAAAAGTGAAAATACCATGTCCTGAAATACCCTTAATCCCAGGTACACCAAGACAGTTGGTCATCCAGCTCTGGGCCTTAGATCTTCACCTAGAAAATGAGGACCAGAAGCTCTCTTATGTCCCTTCCAGATGTGCCTTCATTCACCCCACAAATATACACTATCCTCCATTGCTCTGGATCAACCTGTCCACAACTTGGCCCAGGAAGGGTTAACAGCATAAATTTCCCCCAAACCAGAGGCAACTGTTCCACCATCTGGGGCTCTCTCTTCCCTCACACCCTCCCCGAAGTCCCGAGCCCTCAAAATAGGCATTTGAGGGGCACCTGGGTGGCTCAGTGGGTTAAGCCTCTGCCTTCCGCTCAGGTTATGATCTCAGGGTCCTGGGATCGAGCCTCGCATCAGACTCTCTCTCTCTCTCTCTGCCTGCCTCTCTGCCTACTTGTGATCTTTCTGTCAAATAAATACATAAATAAAATCTTTTTTTAAAAAATAGGCATTTGAGGAATTCCTCCGGGTCCCAAGGCCTCTAATGACTTACTGACCCAGGTTTACAGTTGCCAAGATTCCCAGAGTCCCTCTCCCTGGGACGTCCTGTAGAAATGAGCACCACTAGCGATCTTTTATACAGAGCAAGTACTTCTGTGCTCCACCTTATCGAACAGCAGGAAATACATTTTTGCAGCGCCCAAGAAAGATAGAAGTAGCCAAGGACACAAAACTGTCCAGAACCTTTCTCCTCTCTGCCAGCCTCCAGGGGCCTGGCTTTTGTTGATTGCCGTGGAGAGACTGCTGGGGGGACGGCAGCTCTCGGAAGGCAAGAGCAAGAGTGCTGCCTCCGGTACCCCTGCTACCCCCTAAACCCTGACTGAATTGGGGCCCAGGCTCAGAGGAGTGGGAGGAGGGAGCTGGAGCCCAGAGCTCCTGCCACCGCAGCGGCGGGGAAGTTCTAATGAAAAGCCTGCCAGGCCTCTAATGAGAGCTAAACCACTAGCGGGCGGTGATTGCTCATTGTTTGGTTATAATTAGCAGCGATTTCTGCGGTGGCAGAGCTGCAGCCCGCCGCCTGCAGGAGCGGCGCTGGGGAAGGGTTCTGCCACCCTCGCAGCCACCAGCCCCTGGTCCCTGGCTCCCCAGGCCTGGGCTCCTCCACTCCCCGGCCCCGCCTGCCCTGCACCCCCAGGCAAGAAGCCTCGACGGATAGCGGAACTGGATAGTTGCTACTGGTCCGCGCCACACAACTGCCTACCCAGCTCGCGTGAGCGCAAGGGCTGAACTATCCTGGGTGCGAGACCCGGTTTTTGTCCGCCAGGTACTAGCTGTGTTGTGTGTCTTCAGGCACGTTATTTAACCTCCTAAGCTGCAGTTTCCTCATCTCTAAAGTGAGGTTGGTAGGGGCACTTGGCTGGCTCAGTTGGTAGAGCTTGCGACTCATGATGGCAGGGCCATGAGTTCGAGCCCCATGTTGGGCATAGAGATTACTTGAAAGAATTTAAAACAAAAAGAATAAATAAAATGGGGAACTGTGAGGACAATACTCCTCTTCCTGTGGGGGATGGGGTGAGACTCAAAAGGGATTACTCACTCCAGGCACTTGGCAGAGTGCCTGGTGGGCTGTTGGTGCTCAGCGAATCCTGGCTGCTGTTGGGGGCCAGAGGGGCAGAAGGAGAAGGAGATGTGGACTCCCCCCTGAGCAGGGGCTCAACCCAGGATCCATGAGATCATGACCTGAGGCGAAGGCAGTTGCTTAACCTACTGAGCAACCCAGGCATCCCTCCAACTTTTTTACTGTGACCCATGGGGAAAAAACACATTTTATGCAGTGCCCCCCGTGTAAGACGCACATACATACAGGTAGATAAAACAGAAACAAATGTTTCACGAAGCAGTACTTATCTGAATCCCGCATGGTGTATTCTGATACATTGTGTTCCTTTCTTTTCTCTCTTCTAGTCTGTATCCATATCTGCATGTATATCTCTATCTATCTCCATATTTATGGAGAGTTTTGAAGTTTTGCCAAAGGTCAGGACCCACTAAATTGATTTCATGACCCAACAGTGGGTTGAGAACTTCAGTGTGAAAAACAGTGTCCCAGAAGGAAGAGGCCAGTTAACTCTCATTTCTCATTCTAGAAGAAAAGGCTCTCTTCTATTATAGGGACTTTTATCAGGGGCCAGGGGGAAAGAGAATTCTGAAAAGCTGAAAAGCCATACAGCCATACAGTCTGAGGCTTGCAGGTGAAAACAAGTCTGAATCTTTGTCC